ATTAGTGACATTGCAATGTATTTATATTTTATATTTGTTTAACAATGCAGATTTCAGTGTTTAAAACTTTTTTCATATATCCTATTGAGCAACAAAAACTTGTGATATCCTCCAAAAAACACTTACGTGTAAAAAACTACGCCAAGTACAGGATTGCTGTGAATTCCTCTAACAAAATGTATTGATATCATATTATTGAGGCCAAGTACATAAGTCATTACATGTTTTCCTATTATATGATCTAGCACTGGCCCATTATTTTAATTATATTTTCAATATTTCCTATAACGTTTTCGCTACTCTTTTATGTTACTGCTGCTTCCCGTATTTAATTATGGTTTAATGGTGATTTAATAATTAATAAAACTTTAGGTGATTCCTTATCGAGTACTACTTGATGGGTCCGTGCCAGGAATTCCAAAGTACTTACTTTGCACGTGGTCATAGTATTCTAATGCTGTATGTTTGTTATTAAGCTTTTACCGTGTTTATTTTTGACGAGTTATTGTTAATATGCTTTCTATAGGAAATTGGTACTGGTTTTGTACCAAATTTATATCAAGAAATGCACGGAGCCGCCAAGTAGTACTCGATAAGGAATCACCTTAAGTTTTATTAATTATTAAATCACCATTAAATCGTAATTAAACACGGGAAGCAGTAGTAACATAGAAGAGTAGCGAAAACGTTATAGGAAATATTGAAAATATAATTAAAATGATGGGCCAGTGCTAGATCATATAATAGGAAAACATGTAGTGACTTATGTACTTGGCCTCAATAATATGATATCAATACTTTTTGTTAGAGGAATTCACAGCAATCCTGTACTTGGCGTACTTTTTTACACGTAAGTGTTTTTTGGGGGATCAACTGTTATCCCGATACCAAAAGTGACAAACACAATGAACGCTAGCGAGTATAGACCAATCAACGTGCTACCGACGTACTAAAAGGTATTAGAATTAGTAGTAAAAAAACAATTGGATAAATTCGTAGAAGTTAATAATATACTAATAGAACAGCAATCAGGATTTTGGAAAAACCATTCATACGAAACCGCGATTCAAGCAGTAATAGATGAATGGAAAGTAATACCCACACAGCACACTATATTTCGAAAACATTACAACAATATTTCCAATATTTCATTGCGACAGCAATGTTGTTGATGTCTTTATGTCAAGTATTGCACAATGTTTCAGGGCAATATAATAAATAAAACTTTCTGATATATTGCTGAAATCATAGACAGGTTTTATAGGTGGTAGAAATTTTTTAGAACAGTACCTATAAAATGATTATTTTTTATTATTTAAAAAATATATAGCAAATATTCGAACATTTTTTTTCCATATTAAAAGCGCTTGCTTCTTAATATTTTTGTAATATTCGAAATGATTCCATATCATTTTTTTTCAAATATTTTAAAAGGTTATGGTAACATTTTTTAAATAAAATGCTGCTAATAAAAAAAATGATTCGTGAAACGTATTAAAATATTCGGACAAAACTATGCAATATGCAGGATACATATGTTATAAATAATTAATATTGCGAACTGATATTTTACAAATATTGACCAGCAATATTATATTATGTTTGCAACGTCCTTTGCGTGTTTGCGAGCGCATTGCAAGTATTCGGGAATATTCAAGAAATATTACAGTAATATTGCAATACATTTCAACAATATACAAGTTTTGTCTGAGTTATACACTGTTAAAAAAGTTAAGAAATTTACAACACAAAAGATGAAACTTACTACATAGGTGCATATAATATTTAGAATATAGGTAACGCAAATGAGTATTGATGTACATTGTTTTGTAAAATTGTAATCAAGCATTAATTTTATTATGCGTTTAGCGAATATAATATATTCGACTCTGATTATTAATAAGAGGTTGAAGAATTTTCAATCAACCGTAATGCAATCATACATTCAGGACTGAAAATTACAATACTTGAATAGAAATAGTTCATCTACATGGTATCGATAAATTCATAACCGACTAGAAATTTCGGTATACTCTGTGACAAGAGTCCCTAACCAGACACGGAGTATCCGAGCGAACACTAGTTCGCTGCCGCGCCACTAGGTGGCCAAGGCAACTCGCATGAAAAAACGTAGGACCGGGTAAATAATTAATCCGTCGATTTTACGGTTTCCGTCTTCGCCGTCGATATATACTTTTGTATTCCTGCATGTAAAAATTACATGTGAAATTATTGCATTTGTATGGAGTATTTAAAAATATAACCGAGGTAATATTTAAGGAGGTATAGGCAACCTGCCCAAAGAAACCTACGATACATTGCCGACATTGGAATTTATTCTCAGCCGTTTAATGCATCATTGTTATCATTTACATGTCGTATCATTAATACGACATTTATACTGCAATATTTTGCAGCAGAGTGAACGGTGTAAGATTACAGCAATATTCAAGAAATATTGCAATAATATTGCAATACATTTTAGCAATACGCAGGTGCTATCTGAGTTATATTTTATTAATATTATGCGTTGATATTTCCGGAATATTGACCGGCAATATTATAGCAATATTATGATTGCAACGTGCTGAGCGGACATTGCAAGGTTCCTGCAACATTCCAGAAATATTTTAAACAATTTTCCACTATATTTCCGTAATGTTGCATTATTTCAAGGGAAATTTTTCGCAATGTTGATAAAGTATTTCTGTGCTGTGTGGGTAATTAGGGAGCAAAAAATGATAGGAGTTATCTTTATGGATCTTAAAAGAGCGTTCGAAACGATAGACAGAGGAAAATTGATAAGGAAGATGGAAGCATACGAAATGAAGGGAAAGGTACTGGAGTGGTTTAAGTCTTACGTAAACGACAGGTATCAACAAGTAAAAATAGGAGAAAAAATGTCAGAGAGGATACTTACAGAATATGGAGTACCACAGAGGTCGGTACAGGGTCCCTTGCTTTTCATATTATACATAAATGACATTGATTCATTGATTGATATTTATTAGCCTTCTCGGCTATTTTTGTACATAAATTACATTAATCGAGTACATAACGCAGTATTTGAATATTTTTTATCCATCCCGTATAAAGACAAGATTCTTTAACCTTTACACTGCCGCAAAAGCTTCTTTTGGGGCTATGAATAATTTCAAGATTGTGAGCCACTCATGTATTATTATCATGCATAAATATTTAATAAAAAAGGCCACTATTTGTATAAAAAAATTAGCGGCAGTCGAAAGGTAAAAATTTTCTTCTAGCTTTTCTAACAATATTAATTGTGTTCCGGTTTCAAGTTATGGAATGTATTTTGCCAGTGCGATCTTCGAATTAATAATGAGAGCAGATGCACTTTTTAACTTCATTTGGTAATGCGTTATACATTTGTACTCCTTCGTAATACATACTCTTTTGTGCGTTTCTTGTTCTCCTAAATTGTATAACTATATTTCCAGCTTGTCGTGTTTCTCTACCCCCCCTCATTCCTATTATTTGTAGCCTATTCTTTAAATCCTTTGGTAGTAGATTATTGACAGCTTTAAAGATGAATACACATACATTATAATAAAGTCTTTGCCTTATGGACATAAACTGTGCCGCTGGCAGTATATCATCCACTTTTGTGTAGCGGCTGCATTGCAGTATGACCCGCATCGCTCTATTCTGCGCGATCTGCAGTTTATTTACTTCGGTTTCACCCATACACATTAGCAGTGTTCCACACTATTCGAAGTGTGGTGCTATGATTATTTTATATATAATACATCTGGTAAACGCCGATACGTAGTGCCCCATTCTGTTTAGGAAACTCGTTTTTTTACCTATTTTTTTCAATATATATTTACAATGGTCTTTAAATTGTAACTTGTCATCAATAATAATACCTAAATATTTCATCGTTTCCACTCGTTCTAGTTCCGTTCCGTCCAGACACTTAAGTACAATATTTCCTTTCATTTCTTTTCTCACACTTTTAACAATCATGTATTTTGTTTTATCTGCGTTCATTTTTAATTTGTTTCTATTCATCCACTATTCTACTATATTTAATAGCTTATTCATTTTCCTTTCCAGTTCTGCGCTCTAGGAATTGAAGGTTCTGAAGCGATTGCCACCAAGTTCAATACGATTAGTGTACGAGATCAGGGCGTATTGAAATGGCGAGCGAGATGATTTTATTTCAGTCCCGTCGTCGTCGTCGTCGTCGTCGTCTTCGCACATCCATCGCATTTTTTACACGACAGATGGCGCTGACTGCTTTGCCTTCTTTACCTATTTGTACTCTGGATGGTGTTGGTAATTTACGAATACACAACACAATTAAATACACTTTGTACGTGAAGCTACCGTTCACACCGAATTTCTAGTTGACATAAGGCTGCTTTCACAATAGTATAGAATTATTAAGGCTTTTATGTGGAGTGCGTGTGTATGCGTGTACGTATGTGTGTATGTGTGTGCTTTAGCATAGTTCCTCGGATTTTAGGTGACAATTTTTAGAGATATGGGATTTCCAGATGCTCCTCTCCGTAGTTTCTTGTATCTAGGTGTCGGGCGTGGAAGTCCAGGGTGTCCAAGATCCTTTATCACATGGTAAAAAGTGCGTATCCTGTTCCGTCAATTTTGTTTCTATAATATTTTAAAATTCTCCATTAAACCTAACTTGCTGAGTCCTATTGCTTAAGTACGATCTAAACCATTCCCATAATTTTCCCTTTATTCCATTATTGCACTAGTTTTTCCGATAACAGCTCTCTGTCCACAGTTTCAAACGCTCGTTTCAAATCCATGAAGATTACTCCCACTACTTTCCCTTCACTGATATTTGATTTCCATTCATCACCACGGTTTGAATTGCCGTTTCACACGAGTGCTTCTTCCGAAATCGCGACTGATGTTTCGTGATTATGTTATTTGCTTCTAGATGTTCTTCTAGTCTGTCCTTTACTGCTATTTCCAGTACTTTTTCGTATATCGGTAACATGTTGATTGGTCTGAAGTCACTACCGCTTTTTGGTTTCTGTACTTTTGGTATCGGTATTATGGTAGACGTTTTCCAGTGACGTGGACATTGTCCTTCCTTAAATGAGGTGTTAATAATGTCGATAAAATCATCTTGAATAATTTCTCTAGCTGTTTTTAATATACTACTGGATATT